GATAGATAGATAGATAGATAGATAGATAGATAGATAGATAGATAGATAGATAGATAGATAGATAGATAGATAGATAGATAGATAGATAGATAGATAGATAGATAGATAGATAGATAGATAGATAGATAGATAGATAGATAGAACTAAAGAATGGAAGATAGAAGGATAGATAGATAGATAGATAGATAGATAGATAGATAGATAGATAGATAGATAGATAGATAGATAGATATGACTGAGGCAATACCTGGCAATACGAGCTTCCCTGCTCTGACGATTACAAGTAAAAGTTTTGGACCTTTTTGAGTCAGGCAAACATCGAAGACTAAGGCATGACAAAAATCAACCTTTTCGTCCCAAAACTTCCGCAATGCAGAGCAACACCGCTGACTTGACAAAAAGCACGTCGCCACTGAACAAGTGGTAATGCGAACTCAACCAACCCGTTCTGTGTAAGAAAACTCCAGGTTCCAACTTGCAACGGTCAGGTTGTGGCTTGATGTCCTCTTTTGCGCCACAAAGTTCCCGCTCGTACTCCGTTGTCTTTCTTGCGCACATTTTCAAGCCAAAGTCAGAACACTTTGCACTCACTTAGTCGTTTGAACAATGCCGTGCTTCCAAACGCGTCTCTTTGTTAGCGGCCAGCAAGCTAAGCTAAGTTAGATGGGCAAGCTTCGATGTGCAGACAGACAAGTTTATCCGGACGCGAAGGCTTAATTTCAAAACCGGTTCGTAGAAATAGGACGCATAGCGTCGAGGCATTAGATTGTGCATTCCTCATTCAGGGAACAATTTAATTTGGTCAAACGCCACGTCCGGACCGCGATCTGCGAATCTGACGTCATCTACAGTGCGCATGCGTAACAGGTCGGCCATGTTGATCGCAAGCTACGGCAACTACACTCGGACAAACACCTGGCCGCTCATTGGCCTCTTCGAATCAACTGTCGAATATTTCCCTCGCCTTGCTTTGACCTGCGTTGCATGACGTCATTAGGCCGATGAAAGGATGCATCCTTTTCCAAAATAAGGAAAGGACAACACCGCTTCGAATAAACCGCCACTATTTTGACGTCATACCGCGACGGCGGACTTTACCTGCAAAATCTTCGATGAACAACAAGATGAGAAATATACATATACAATTTATTTGCGGCGGGGATCACTGATGATGTTTTTCAGTGATTTTGTAGGTGCCCATTCACGAATTCATTTCGGAGGTTTGTGGTCGGGATAAAGAGGAAAAGCTTTTTTATGACTAATTTTTAAGGATTTGCTTTTTTGAAACGTTATCATTTAAATTCTTCAGCGTTAGACGAGAGAGTCTTCGCGCAGTCTGACAACTCAGTCGGTGTCCTGTTGCTTTAAATGTTGCGGACGTAAAGAATTCGGGGTAATAAGGTTGGCCAAGAGGAAGGGTCTGAAAGGTTGCATCCAGGCACCTTTCCAAAACATTTAGAGAAGTCAAACGGTCCTCTCCTCCGAGAACCCCCGGGTCATCTCATTCGGCTCGGACAGGAGAGGATATTTCATCAGCAAAGACAAGTCGAAGAAGCCCTTGGACAAAGTAGGTCTGTGGTGCCAGCTTAAACAAATTGTGGGGCGCATGCGGGGTGGGGGGGGGGTGAAGCAGATCAATTTCGGGAAAAGGAGCCCAAGCTCCACCTTCAGTTCTGTCACCACATTTTTTGAGCTTTCAATCAAAGCTCCTCATGGGACAAAACCCAAGTGCGGTATTTGTACTTTCAAAACCTGCTCTACAGGTTTTCCTGTGGTGGCACCTTGGTATGAGAGGAAACCACCATCTTGGTGTTGTCTGTGTTCTAAAGCAATGTAACATACAAGCGGGACTGGATTACATTAAAAGTAGTTTGTCAAAAGTCAAAATGCCTGCCTTCGTGATTGAAGATGAAGAGCAATAAATCATGGCGTCATCTGCACTTATTCCAGCGACTGTTCATCGAAAATGAGCATCTCAATGGTCCCGATACCGAGCCTTGGGATTTTTTTTTAATCCTGATTAACAACTGAGCAGTGGCGGACAATGCAGAATTCTCTCAGATTATACTTTGAGTCAGTACATATTGTTAACCTTCAGAAGATCCCCCCCGACCCCCCAGAAAACCCACACCCACACACACAGTCATGCAATACTGGCGGAGTTGAGCTCAGAGCATTGAGAGATCATGTAACCGTTGTGCCTATCGTGTATTGAAGTTGCAGACATCGCTGGAGGAAGGCTCGACAGTGCAATGAAAGCTAAGCAGACTCAGACCAAACGTGGGCAAAAAGATACACGTTAACTACTCGTTTATGTTTGTGGCCTGAAAAAGAGACCCCCAAAAATCTGTCCCGAATACACGTTAGTCACGAGTGCTCTTCTCACGAGTGCACTTGTGCAACTTGACCTGATCCTTGCGAGAGAATCTTTTGTCACACAGACTGCAACTAAAGGCTTTCTCGCCGCTGTGTGTTTTGGTGTGCCTCGTCAAATCCGAGTTCCGAGTGAATCTTTTCCCGCAAACCGAGCAGGGAAAAGGTTTCTCCCCAGTGTGTGTCTTTCTGTGTGCTTTTAAATGGCCCTTCTGTCTGAACTGTACCTCACAAACAGAGCAGGCAAAGGGTTTCTCTCCGGTGTGTGTTCGGCTGTGTGCGGCTAAATGCCCCTTATCGTTGAATCTTTTGCCACACACGGAGCAGGCAAAAGATTTTTCTCCGGTGTGTTTTCTTGTGTGTTGGATTAAATGTTCCTCTTGAACGAATCTTTTATCACACACTAAGCAGGCAAAAGGATACTCTCCTGTGTGTGTCCTTGTGTGCATTGCTAGGCTTTTCTTGACAGAGAATCTCTTCCCACAAACTAAGCAGGCAAAAGGTTTTTCTCCAGAGTGTGTTCTGGCGTGCTTTCTCAAGTTGCCCTTTGCAGAGAAGGTTTTAGCACAAAGCGAACAAGCAAAAGGTTTTTCTCCAGAATGTGTTCTTGTGTGCCTCGTTAAATCTTCCTTGGTGGAAAAGGTTTTGCCACAAACCGAGCAGGCGAAAGCTTTTTCGCCCGAGTGTGTTCTTGCGTGCCTTGTTAACCGATCCTTTCGAGAAAATCTTTGACCACAAACCGAGCAGGCAAACGGTTTTTCTCCAGAGTGCGTTCTCGTGTGCCTGGTTAAATCTTCCCGCCGAGAAAATGTTTTACCACAAACTGAGCAACCAAAAGGATTTTCTCCAGTGTGAATTGTTCTGTGGGCTATTAAGAGCCTCTTTTGAGAGAAGCTTTTTTCACAGCCCGAGCAGGTAAAAGGATTTTCCCCAGTGTGCGTTCTTGTGTGTACTATTAAAAGTCTCTTTTGAGTGAATCTTTTTTCACAAACGGAGCAGGGAAAAGGTTTTTCTCCAGTGTGTGTTCTTCGGTGCGCTTTCAAATGGCCCTTCTGCCTGAATCTTGTCCCGCAAACTGAGCAGGCAAAGGGTTTTTCCCCAGTGTGCGTTCTCGCGTGGATTTTCAATTCTCCTTTGACAGAAAAGCCTTTGCCACATACTGAGCAGGCAAAGGGTTTTTCTCCGGTGTGCGTTATTGTGTGCGCTGTCAAATGTCCTTTGTCAATGAATCTTTTCCCACAAGCCAAGCAGACAAAAGGTTTCTCGCCAGTATGCGTCCTAATGTGCAGTGTTAAGCTGGTCTTTACAGAAAATGCTTTACCGCAATCTGAGCACACAAAAGGTTTTTCCCCAGTGTGAGTTCTTGTGTGAATTTTTAAATGTCCCTTATGAGTGAACCTTTTACCACAAGCGGAGCAGGCAAAAGGTTTTTCTCCAGAGTGTGTTCTTGTGTGTATTGTTAAGGATGACTTGCTGACAAACGTTTTTTCACACTGAGAACATTTCACTCGTTTGTTGTCAGCATGACGTGTCATATCACCTGTAACGTGTTCATCATCATCGTCGTCGTCACCGCCAGTGTCAGAAGAGCGTGACGTCACGTCATCACCATCTGAAAGTGGAGCTAAGAGGCTGTCCGATTGGGATGGCCCATCCTGGTCCCCATCAGCTTCGTCACTCTTCACAATGACTCCAGTCAATGGAATCTTGCTGATTTCATCTTCCTGCTCTTCTTCTTTAACGTAAGGGCACTCACGCTCCTCCTCCTGCTCCTCCTCTTTAATTTGGCCATACGCTGGCTCCTGCTGCTTGCGTGTGCATTTAAATGTTCCCCTTGAGTGCTCTTCTTCATTGAGGTCTGCAGAAGACAGAGATTGCTTGAGTCAACCTTTGTTCAGTCAAGTCTCACGTTGTGGCTTTGACATTGTCTATTATTGTTTCTGAATATTTTGGCAACGTTGAAGATAACAGAAGAATGACAAGCTGTTGGATCCTCAAAAGAAGAAAAAAGTCAAACAGTGTAGAGGGGGGAAACATCAGAGTCCGAGGTCTCAAACATAATCATGAGGGGAAACCAAGAAGATCCGCCTCTTACCCGACATTGGATGTTAATAATGTTTGTGTACATGTGACGTAAAACGGTAAGAAGGCCGGAAGGTAGTCATGAAACAAGTGAGAACGAGAAGTAAACAAACCTGCTCCGTTTAAGGCAACTCGAGGTTCCAACTGACAAAGTTCCTCCTTGTACTCTGTCGTCTTTCTTGCACACATTTCCCGCGACAATCACAAGACTTGACATTCACTTGATCTCTTCTGAGCGACGTGTTGCTAACAGACGCTTCTGCCTGTTAGCGAAGCAAAGCTAAGTTTGCCAGTGTAGCTTCAACGTGCAGCCAGGCGACTTTATAGGGACACGAAGGTCGCATTCGGTCGTTTTAGGCGTACTTTGTCAAAGATTTAGCCCGGTCAGGAGTCATTCCAGAATAAGGATTTCGTGAAACGCGAGTCCGAGGCACGATCTGCGTTACTCGCGCACAATCAGCAAAGCGCATGCGCAGCAGGT